AAAATCTAAATAATATAAACATAAAAATAATAAAATAAGAAGAATATAATAATATATAGATAATAAGAAGAATACAATGATATAAATAATATAAACAGAGAAATAAATATATAAAAATACGATAGATAAATAACATATAAATAAAAGAATAAAAAGAATAAAAATAATTAAATATGATTCATCAAATAATCTATTTCATTAATATTTCATACAGAATACAATTGATAATAAAATATAAACATAAATATTTATATATTCTGTATTTATCATATTTTTTTATTTTTTTAGGAGCAAAATATAATAAAGTTGAATATTCTATGGATACAAATTATTTTCATCTTTTTTCTTTTTTGTAAATTATTTAGATGCATTTTTTCTTTGCTAATTTTCGTACCTGTCATCAAGTTATGGAAAATAAAATACACATTCATGAAGAATCAAATAATGAAATTACATTATCTTTACAATCAGAAGAAATAAAAGAATATTATAATTTCGATTTTGAATTAGAATATTGTTTAACTTTAAACACCAAAATTAACACATTTGTTGTTTTTATTTAATCATAAAGATGAGTACATTCAATAATATGAAGAAAATATTTCAAAAATATATTGATTTATGATCCTAATAACTATCAAATCATATTATCAAAGAATTTGTTGAAATGTTTTGTTCATAATAAGTAGAGAAGATAATATCAACAAATGATAAAGTTAATTACATTAATCAGTAAAAATAACAGAAGTTACAGAACATATAACGACAATATGATATAGAAATATTTTTATGAACAACACATATGTAAATTAAGAAAAAAACATTTAAAACAAAAGACATGGAAATACTGAACATAAAATTTCACAACAATTAAGTGTGAATTGTAAACCAATGAAATTTATAAAGTATCAAAGAAAATTAATAGAAATGATAGTTCGTATCGAATCATTCTATTATTCAGCATGTTCAATGCCAACAAAAGATTAATAGATTATTAATGTGAAGCTTATTTGATATGAGGATGACTAAAATGTGAAAATGATTAAATTGAAGTAGGAATATCACCATGAAATGTTATTGGGTTAAGTTTATAGATGAAAGCAACAATTGTAAAAATAAAGATAGAATCTTAAAATAAGTTTAATAGAAACTTACAAACATAATTATGAATATAATAAAAATATTCCTAGATAATTTCTAATAGAAATAGGAGATGAAATAGTGAATAATTGTCAAACAGATATAGGATATGAAACAATAAAAGAAAAAGAAGAAGAAACAAAGAAGATAATTGAAAAGAATTATTATTAACAAAATGAATCATGTAAATAATAATTCTCATTTGTTGCCTTAAATTATTGAAATAATGTAATTATTGTTAATGTGTTTTGTAACTAAAATATAAATAAATGAATCAACATTCAAAATAAATTTATTGGTTTATTTCATTTCTCATTTGTTTGTATGAATAACATGATTTTAATTAAATTAATCATGAAGAAATAATATAATTTCATTATTGTTTATTGTTTTTAACTTTTCTTTAATTACTGTTATGTTATTTATAATTACCTATCAAATAAGTATGAATTAGCATTAATTACAAATAAGATAATTAAACATTTTTGTTTTATTATTTTAAATACAACAAATTGTTATTTTATTCACATGAAATAGCAAATTAAAAGATAATCATTATTTATGAAACAATTGATGTGAAATATTAACATTATGTAATATTTAAAATGAAGCAATTGAAGAGAAAAATAAACTAACAGAATGATAATAGAATAATGAAGAATTAACAGTAATTCAAATGATTATATTGATAAGAATGGAGATAAATGAATAATAAACCGAAAATGATAGAAATAAATATAAGAATATTTTATACAACTAATACTACAAGAAAAAGAATAAAAACAACAAGTGGAATGATGTATTATTTGACCAAGAAATAATATAAACAATGAAAAATTTCGCAAAAAATAAAAAGAAGAAAATAATCATGAAACATCAAGAGAATTAAGAGATAATGTACATCATCAATTAAAGTATTTTACAAAAATATAATGTAAAGAGTGAATAAAAAGAAGAATAAAAACCGTGAGTTAACAGCAAATAAAAATGTAATCATATTAAATCAATTGTTCTAACAAAAATGAAATGATTGAATTTCACAATTAAATTCAAAAACATTTATATAAACCATAATAAGTCAAATCAATGAAATAGTTTAATCAAATTATCATTGAATTTTAATAATAACTTTAAATTTATTTATTATTGTTCTTCTTGTTGAATTATTTATTCAAATATCTTATTTCAATTTGTTTTAAATTAAAGAAGATTACTTTTTTAAATGAGTGAAATAAAATAATCCAAATGTTTGACATATGATTTATTTAGAATATTATGAGTTGTGGTAATTGTTAAATAAATTCATAAAAGAATGAAGAATTAAACAACAAATAAAATAAATTAATTCAAATCAATTATTTAATTGTTTGTTTTATCAATGAACAAAACACTCCTCTCAGTTGTCCTTTGCAATATAACATTTTATCATTTGTTTAAATAACATATGTGAATTTCATCTGGTTCATATCAATTCAATTTATCATAGTCATTATCAAATTGAAGAGAAATGAATATTTATTGTTGAAATTAAAATTATTTTTAATTCATTTGAAATATATTTGTGAATAAAGAAATGAGCAAAGAGGAATTTGGAGAGAGTGTGAAATTCGAAGAGAATGAAAGTATTTTTGATGAAATAAAAATGCTATTTTAATCAACAAACAAAAATAAAATGAAATAAAGAAGAATTAATGTCACTAAATTATTGTTTTTACATTTTTATTTATAATAAAATTACATAACAATTATTATTCGTTAATAATAAACATTATTTGATGTTATTCCTTATCGAAAATTAATTTTTATTTACAATATATTTTTACATAAGGAAATAAAATCAAACAAAAGTCAATACAATTACGTTTATGCTTTTCAATAAAAACAAACTAATAATTTGTCTAAAATATTTTTATCGCAAAATACACTGACTTATAATTATTTTTATCCAAATCCAAATATAAAACAACAAAAATAATTATAAATACAACCTGAATATATTTAAAGAAAAACAAGCAACTGATAAAACATAAATGAGTGTACAAAAGCAAAGACCAACGAAATTACTTTTAATTGGAGAAACAGGAAATGGGAAAAGTTCACTTGGTAATTTCATTTTAAAGAGTAATGTTTTTAAATTTAGTGGTAGTCCGGATTCAGAAACAAATAAACCTCTTAAATGTTTTGGAGAAGGAGATAGAAGTGATGTAGTTGTTATTGACACACCTGGTCTTAATGATACTAATAAGTTTGATGAAGAACATATTCAGAATATTGTTGATTGTGTTAGAGCCGAAGGGTTACAAGGAATTATATTAACAATGAACTATAATGTAGACAAATTTACTTCTAATCTTCAACAAGTTATTGAAACTATATGTGATGTTTTCAAAATAAAAGACATTTGGAAACGTGTTTGTATTGTTTGGACGAAATGCTTTAACCATTTCTCAAAAGATGAAATTAAAAAAAAGAAAATTAACAAAGAAAAATTCAAAGAAAAGTTGACTGAATTTATAAACCAAATAATAAAACAAACGAATATCTTGATATACCAATGTATTTTGTAGATTCACAACCAGATGAAAGACATGATAATAGCAGATCAGAAAATGAAATAGAAAGATTAATTGAAAGGTGAAGATGAATAACTCCTATTAATATTGATACAAGTAATCGAGAAAAAACACCAGTCATAGAAGAAAAAGAAGAAATAGAATCAATGGGAAATAATGATAAGCAAATAATAACACAAGTCAAAAGGAAGAGAAGAGAAATAAGAATTGGTTTTGATGGAGAAATTAAATAAGGTGATTGGAAATTAATAAAAGTTATGAGCAATGAAAAACATTCATGGTTACCAGAATTAACAAGCAACACATTAAAAACAGTAGCTATAATAGGAACAACTATATTTGTTTTGGCAAAAGTTAAATAGGTTTAAAACAAATAATTTTAACTAAATTCAATTTATTACTTTTTAAAACATTAATTTGAATTTATTGAAATAACAATTGAATAGTTTAATTTATCAATTCCAATATAATTCAAATTAAAAAGAATGAAATAAAGAAATAAAGAATAAAATAA